TATTTTTTGGTTGCAGCCGTCATTGTTGTTTGGCGGGTCCGGGCTGGGGATTTGAACCTGCCACCTTAGGTGTACGTGGCTGGCACCTTAGCTGGCTGAGCTATAGGCGCCGAGCCACAACTCACAATTTCAAAGAGATGGAACCAACCTAAATGTTCAGCAACTGATGATATAATGAAAATGTGGTCTATGTGACTCAACCATGAAAAGCACTGAAATGATGTCTCTTATAGCAACTTGTATAGAACTGGAGGCTATTATCCTAAGTGAAGTAACCCAGGAAAAAAAGCCCAAATACCTCATATTCTCACTTAAAAATGAGAGCTAAGGGTGGTGCCTGTGGCTCAAAGGTATAAGGCGCCAGCCTCATATGCTGGAAGTGGTGGGTTCAAACCCAGCCCCAGCCAAAAAGTGAAAAAAAAAAAAAAGAGAGAGAGAGCTAAGGAATGGGTAAGCATGGTCTTACAAAATGATACAATGGAAACTGGAGAGTCATAAAAGGCAGAGTGTTGGGTGGTGCCTGTGGCTCAAAAGGGTAGGGTGCTGGTCCCATATGCTGGAGGTAGCAGGTTCAAACCCAGTCCTGGCCAAAAAATAAAACTAAAAATAAAAATAAAAAACTAATCAAAAGTGGGTATTATTTTTTAAAAAAAGGCAGGGTGTTAGGGGCTGCAAGATGAAAAATTACCTATTGGGTACAATGAACATTATTCAAAGTGAGGGGTACACTAACAACTTAGACTTCACCACTATACAATTCATCCATGTAACACAAAACATTTATACTCCCTAACTGTACTAAAATAAATTAAAAACTAATTATATAAAAGGAAGAAATAATAATCCCAAACAAAACCTATGGAACCCAGGCTCGGCGCCTGTGGCTCATGTGACTGAGGTGCCAGCCACGTACACCTAAGGTGGCTGGTTTGAATCCAGCCTGGGCCCGCCAAACAACAATGATGGCTGCAACCAAAAAAATAGCTGGGCATTGTGGAGGACACCTGTGGTCCCAGCTACTTGGGAGGCTGAGGCAGGAGACTTGCTTGAGCCCAGGAAATGGAGGTTGCTGTGAGTTGTGATGCCACAGCACTCTACCCAGGGGGACAGCTTGAGGCTCTATCTCAAAAAAAAAAAAAAAACCAAAACAACAAAAACCTATGGAACCCAAAGGAAATACTTACCCTAGCAAGAGTGGTAAAGCCCACATCTGTTAACTGAGAACATCTTGCTACTTCTAATATTCTGTTAAAAAAACAAAATGGAAGTCAAGCTCTTGGTCTTTGAAAACTGGTCTCTTATTAAAACAGTTAAGAATTTAAGAAAATAATCTCCTATTCCCTAAGGACTGCATAATACAGAATGACATTAACAGCTAAGCAACTATGTATATAGATTTCGTCATTCATTTTTATGGAGTCATCATAAAGCGGTCTGGTAAATACCACATTTCAGGATGATACAATGAAAGAATACAGAAGAAAATAACTGAAGCTTATAGTTAGTGTAAAAGTGCATGAAATGCATTAAAAGCCTTCTTGATGGCATACCGCTTACCCCCAGAGGGCAGCCTGCTCCTAGAAAACAAAGGAAATGGAGATAAATACTCTATTTCAGTTAATCTGAAGAAAATTATCTTCTTTCTGTTTTAGATGTAGGTTCTTTCAGAATTAAATAGCTTTTTAAAAACCCTAAGTACAGGTTTGTCCCAAATATGAAATTCCAGATTTATGAAAGCTTCCTGCTTCCTCCCACGGGCTACCAGAGAGGCCCAGTGGAGAGGAAAACTGAGCTGGCAGCCATTCTCCTATTATTCAGCAACTGCTAAATACCAATCACAGGGCTGGAAAACCAAAAGCAGCTCTTTTCTGTGAAAAGTGACCTCTGTACAATGGTACCAAAAAACACATACATGTTTCCTTACAAACTACTTACTACAGAAGATGAAAAAATTAAAGCTAAATATAAGAAATCATTATCAGATGAAAATCAATCAGAAATGAACACTACATGTAATAGGAGAGCATTACATGACTGAAACAACTTCTAAGAGCTTTTCTAACAACACTAATGAATACAGAAACATGGAGCTGAAGTCCCCTTTTCTCTAAAATAGAAAGATATAAAGTGTAATATTTTTAGAGAGAGGTTCAGATACCTCCCAAGCTCCGGAGAAATACTCTATTCCAGGCTTTTCATATTACTTTGACCAAGTCTACAATCTATTAAAGAATTCTAATATGAGGGGAAAAAGTTCTCTCAACAATTATAGTTAAGCCAGGTGATTTCCAAAAAAAAGTTTTCAGGAAGTTTTATGGCTGTACAATGATTTTTATATATAAGAAAAATGGTCTCACAAGCTCAGGAACCAGACTGCCTGGATTTGCATCCTTGCTTACTGGCAGTGATACCTTGAATAACCACTTAAACCCCCTGTGCTTCAGTATTCTAATCTATAATATGGAGATAATAATATACTTACATGATGCCAAGGAGTTTAAATAAATTAGTATCTGTAAACCACCTAAAACAATGTCTAACTTATAAGTGGTATATTAAGTTTTGTTTTAAAAAACACAAAAGGTATATGGGCATCATTCCTACCCATTATAGTGTCTTGTGTACGCCTACAGAATATGGGTTTGACACCAAGTGTATACTAACATAGCATTCTCAGTAAATATTCAGCCGATCCCATATTCAAGCAGAGAAGGACGCATAGAGAAATAAGGCTGTTCTAAAGGAACAGAGGATAAGGCCGAGTACCAGAGTGGTCCTCTTACAAGGAAGTTTTTTCTTTTCAAATATAGTATTTCTTCTTAAGTACCTGGCATCATTACTGTCATACAAATGACCTCAGCATGGGCCTTAAAAAGCTTTAAAAGGAATTATATAAAAGCATTAATGAGAGAAAATACTTTTATTTCTTTTTCAAGTAATGGAATCAAATATTAAGTTTTTTCTAGTATGGTTAGCAAGTAATGGAATTGGGGGACTGTTAGTTTAACCCTTGGTTCATGCCAATTACATGTAATCAAATGAGGTTTAAAGGTAAGTAGGTATCTAAAAGGGTAATGACTCTGCAGTATCTATGTCAAAGATCCAAGAAATAAATATGGGTGAAGGAGGTTTTTGTCCCTTTTCTCTGATTTTTTTTTTTTTAAAGCTGAAGAAGAAATGTTTACCTGAGCCGTGGACAATTCTGGCCTAGAGCATTCAGGATGGCATCTGTGATGTTGGAGCAGCCAGAAGCACAGAGGGACTGTAACTTATGGCACCCTCTGCATATAGTAATAAGACCATCATCTGTAATTTGCTAAAAAACAAAAATCCACAGACATTAGTATCTTAGCAGAAGAAAAATAAGCAAAAATAATACCTCTATGAAAATAAGCACCAAAAAGAAATCAAGATGGTCTGAATCAGTTAGCAGACCTAAGTGAAAATGAACACACTTTTGGGCAGCACCTGTGGCTCAGTGGGCAGGGCGCTGGCCCCAGATACCAAGGGTGGTGGGTTTAAATCCGACCTGGGGCCAAATTACAACAAAAAAATAGCTGGGCGTTTTGGCGGGCACCTGTAGTCCCTGCTACTCAGGAGGCTGAAGCAAGGGAATTGCCTAAGCCCAGGCAGGAGTTGGAGGTTGCTGTGAGCTATGTGACGCCACAGCACTTTACTGTGGGTGATAGTGAGACTGTCTCTACAAAAACAAAAAAAAAAGAAAGAAAGAAAATGAACACACTTTTGTTTCTTTCTTCCCTTTCCTTTTGATTTAGTTTGTAAGAGATTTTATGCTCAGTTTTGGTATAAAGGGAAAAAGCTCCAAATGGGATCCTGTTAAAAGCTCTAAGGGAATCCTAATGGGACCGAGAATAGCATGAGACACATTATAATACAGGTTCAATTAAATAATTGTAAGACTTAGAAAACATAAGTATAACAGTATTTTAGTAGTATAAACATACTTACAAATGACCAGGTATGGTGGTTAATGTCTGTAATCCTAGTACTCTGGGAGGTAGAAGTGGGAAGACAGACTGAGCTCAGGAGTTCAAAACCAGCCTGAGCAAAAGCAAGCCCCTGCCTCTATTACTAAAAATAGAAAAACTAACCAGGGGTTGTGGCAGATGCTTATAGTCCCAGCTACTTGGGAGGCTGAGGCAGGAGGATCACTTGAACCCAAGTTTTTTTTTTTTTTTTTGATACAGAGTCTCAAGCTGGTGACCTGTGTAGAGTCCTGTAACATCATAGCTCACAGCAACCCCACACTCATGGGCTCAAGTGATCCTCTGGCCTCAGATTTTCTATTTTTAGTAGAGACACGTTCTTGCTTTTGCTCAGGCTGGACTCAAATTCATGAGCTCAAGCAACTGACCTGCCTCAGCCTCCCAGAGTGCTAGGATTACAGGCATGAGCCACCTCGCCTGCTGAACCCCAGAGTTGTGAGGTTGCTGTGAGTTAGGCTGATGGACACCATGGTACTCTAGCCTGGGATGAAATCTTGAAATCTTGTATTAATTACAGCATTTATTTAGTTCTACATTTTAGTTTTATAATAATATGTATAAAGAACAGCCTAACTAGGGGCAGCACCTGTGGCTCAAAGGAGTAGGGCGCCAGCCAGCCTCATATGCTGGAGGTTTCAAACCCAGCCCCTGGCCAAAAACTGCAAAAATAAAAGAAGAGAAGAACATCCTAACTTATGGAAATAAAACAGTTATGCCTAACTCAGATATGATTTTGGACTTTTTTTTTTTTTTTTGCAGTTTTTGAAGGGCTGGGTTTGAAGCCACCACCTCCAGCATATGGGGCCAGTGCCCTACTCCTTTGAGCCACAGGCACCACCCTGATTGATTTTGGACTATTTAAAAAACTATTTTAGGCTCACTTAAGCCCAGGAGTTTGAGGTTGCAGTGAGCTATGATGACACCACTGCATTCTAGTCTAGGTAACAGAGCAAGGCTCTGTCTTTAAGAAAAAATAATTCTTTTCAATTATCTTGTTTTAAATTATTTTAAAATGAAAAAGAACACAAATGCAACGATGTTACATTTAAAAAAAAGTTACAAGGTAGATACCACTACACATGCCTATAGTCTCAGCTACTCAGGAAGCTAAGATGGGAGGACTGCTTGAGCCTAGTTCAAGGTAGGCCAACCTAGGCAATGTAGGGAGACATCTCTTAAAAAAAGAAAGTTTTTAAACATAAACATCTTAACAAGTTGGATTCTATTAGGACTACAATTTTCCTGCTATATTTGCTAATTCTGAATAGGCTTAAAAATTAAACTCTTCTAGACATTTGTTTCATGAAGTAGTATCCTCAAGTGGCAAACCTGACTGGAATAAAACAAAAAAAATCCAACTTTTTTTTTTGGAGACAAGAGTCTCACTTTGTTGCCCTCGGTAGAGTACTGTGACATCACAGCTCAAAGCAACCTCCAACTCTTGGGCGTAAGCAATTCTCTTGTCTCAGCCTCCTAAGAAGCTGGGACTACAGGCACCTGGCACATGCCCAGCTATTTTTTGGTTGCAGTTGTCATCATTGTTGTTTACCTGGCCTGGGCTGGGTTCGAACCTGCCAGCCAGGGTTTATGTGGCTGGCGCCCTACCCACTGAACTATAGGTGCTGCCCCTGCTTTGTTTTTTTTTTAAACTTTATTCATCCTTTTTAAATTAGAACATTGAGGAGTATAGGCATAGGTGGTACATTTCTTAAATTGATCGAAGCTATTTATGACAAACCCACAGCAACTATTTTACTAAACGGAGTAAAACTTTTCCTCTTAGAACTGGAACCAGACAAGGTTGTCCTCTGTCACCATTACTATTTAATATTGTGCTGGAAGTTTTAGCCAATACAATCAGACAAGACAAGAAAATAAAGGGTATCCAAATGGGAGCAGATGAAGTTAAATTCTCCCTTTTTGCTGACGATATGATCTTATACCTGTAGAACCCCAAAGAGTCAACCACAAGACTCTTGGAAGTCATCAAAAAATATAGTAATGTTGCAGGATATAAAATCAATCTCCACAAGTCACTTGCCTTTGTATACGCCAACAATAGCCAAGAGGAGAGGTTAATTAAGGATACAACTCCCTTCACCATAGTCTCAAAGAAAATGAAATACTTAGGAATATACCTTACAAAAGAGGTGAAGGACCTCTATAAAGAAAATTATGGGGCTCGGCGCCTGTGGCTCAAGCGGCTAAGGCGC